AATATTAGAACTAAATAAGATTTCGAACAGTAATATAGTCATACTACCATCCACTATATGACATAGTCAATTTCTTAAACATATACTAAGAATTGCTTCTCGTGGCACTCTATTCAAATAATCACTGTGATCGTCGTACTTATCCAAAGGACCTAAACGATATATATAGTTAAAGATAACATTTGTATCAACAAGTTTACTAAAGACACTAATCCCAAATTAACAACATAACCCGTCCATAACAACCCCGAAAGATGAACACATAAACCTGCCAGATTTTCGGATAATTTCGTTTACTGCCACAGCCCGTTTGAAAAATCATAACAAATTGTAAAGTTATCCAAATTGTCCAAATAATACATCAAATGAAACCTTACAACTTAATCTACAAGTTTCATGAAGGCACAGAGCCCAAATTATGATCCCAACATATCGAAAACAGTCCCGCAAGAAGATACTCAAAACTGCCCTGTTTCCGGCAGATTACTGTCATCGGATTCCGACCTCTAAAACACGTATTTTAAATACACTAATTCGATACAATTGAACACTTACTTATAGTTTACGATGTCCTCTACGAGTTTCCTGAAGGAACCGATTCCAAATTCGCATTCGAAACCCTTCGATTTCGGCTCCGAAAACAGGTGCGGCAGCAGAATTTGCTTCCCTTCGTTTCAACGAGCGAGCTGAAGTTCTAGCCAATTCCGATGACCACCGCTGATGTAAACAATCAAGAACCACCACCACTGGAAATCTAACTTATTAAGGTTTCGAACGGTACCTTCGGATCATCGATGCTCCATCTTTAAGACCTCCGTTTAATTGATTTACGGAAAAGGCAAAACTCTGAAATTGAAATTCTGGACAGCTCGTCTTCTTTGTCGGATTCCAGCCACCACCGCCGGCGACTGCTGCTGGAGACCACCACCACTATAAATCCGACTTTTTTTTCTTCAATTAACTTCCATGATTTCAGCCAAGGATCGAGAGAGAGAGGAAGAGAGAGCGGGCGAGAGAGAAAGAGAGAGATGATGAGAGAGAGCGAGAGAGAGAAAGGAGTTTGGAGAAGAGGAGTGAAGTGTAGGAAGAATCGGATGAAGATGAAGAGGAAGTCTGACTCATCTTTTATTCTACGTGTCTCTCTCTCTAATTTTCTTGGTTAATAACATTCAATTATCCCATTACACAAGCCCCTCAATTGCTTAATGGCCAAGTTACTAAATTATAGAATTATTATTATGCTTATGCCCCAAAATTATTACATAATAACACATCAGCCCCCAATTCTCATTATAAAGTACAATAAACTCTCGCATAATTTACGGGGTGTTACAATCTCCCCTCCTTAAAGGAATCTGGTCCCCAGATTCTCAACTATTATTCGAACATGGAAATACAATTTCCTAAAATTATCTTCTTGCTCATCCGTCGTTTCTTCAACTTGGTGGTTTCTCCATAATACCTTCAAATCTTGTGATTGAGGAATTCGTCATTAAGATGAATACACTTACGCGGGTAATCTATCTTCAAGCCGTGTCGCTTCAAGGAAGAATATCCGAGATTGATCGAAATAGTGTGAGCTTAGTACTTCAAACCTCTACGAAGTGTTTCCATGACAATCTATATCTTCCCAAACTTGGTATTGACTTAAGTAACGAGTCAAACTACTATCGTAATGAATTCAAAAATACTACTTCAACTTAAATCTGAGGTAGTACTAGGAAGTACTGCTTGTGGAACTTTAATACTCGACTTCATTAGAAATATTATCCAATTCATCGGTCTCATACTCGATGTAGCCTTACCGTTGAGCAAGATGCTGAATATTTATAGCGTTCTAGAAGTTGAAGGCCGAGATACGGTTCATCAACCAATTAATGGGACTTGTGAGGTACGTCAACTTGTAAGAAACAATCTAGTTAGGGTTGTAGCTAGGAGTGCTATAAATGTTCTGATGAGAGGAATGAAAGGGATTAATAAGGGTCTGATATCGTTCGAATCCTTAAATCTTTCCCTACTTATCCGTGTCATATTCTTCAAGAGAACGTGTTTCTTCTCCTCCGTTTCGCTCGAACCTTTGTGGTAATTAGAATTACATATCTACTTCCACATCTCCATAACTCTTTTGACAATCTCGTGTAGGCTTTGATCTTTATTTGATAAGTCGAACTTCACCGATAGCACCTGATATCAATCTCCAAGCCATTACGTTTGCCGTCGTTAGTTATTCGTCGTTCATCTATCTTGAAACGCAAGCTCGATTGATACTTCATTCCACGAACTACTGCGAAGCTGTTTGTATTGTCGCTTGCTTGATAGTTGTCCCAAGTCATCACGATAATTCACGTTGTACGTTCACAAGGTTCCTTGAATGTTTTCAGTCATCCACTCACACGAGAGTTAGTTTTGAGAACGTTTCTCGTACCGAGCTGAAATTTTGTCCTATGTTGCAGATAGTTGCTTTCATAAGAACGAGATGACTTATAATCTATATCGAGACAATGTGAGTTGGCTACAAGAGATAGATTTCGGATCTAAATTATCTTCAGCAGACAAAGAGGCAACTACTCTCCCGGTCCACAAAAATTCTCTTCTCATTGGCCTACATAAAGTGGAATTGAATGCACCACAATTGCAATCAAAGAGGACGACGAAGCCTGATTTACTTATTGTATCAACATTGGACACTAGAAGGGCTTGATTATAGATGGCGTTCGCAAGGAAAAGGTTTCCGAATAGTAGATCGACCAGGCAACGGTTGATGGAAGAGAGCTTTACTTCTAAAATCAAGAGTAATAAAAAATGGCAACGGTTGATACAATCTTCCCGTGGTTTCGCAACCGCATGCCTAATAAATACTTATCGTAGAGAACATAATATCCGACAATTGAGTAGCCTTAATTCATTCAACTCACCACTATTTCAACATAGGTCAACTTGTCTAATGTCATTCTTCGACACTAAGCACGCTTTAATCATGTACGGAACATTATATACATTATGTCTATTAATGTCGATGGTGAATTACTTCAACCAAACTACATGACGGCAAAACTTATTTATAGCAAGTTGCTCATGCAGGCCGAATTCTTGCAGTTGTCGTTCCCATCTTACAAGGAAAGGTGGAACTCTCTACGGTGATTGACATAGGTGTTGTACATTAAACACCTTCTCCACATAGCACTTAGCTCTTGATATTAACCAAATAGAATTGCAAAAACTGATAATCCAATGTCAAGATATAGCTGACTTATCGGATACTAAGGACTCTAGAGGTGGCTCATGCAAGATTAAGAGGTGGCTCCCATTGGGTAGCACTTTGCCCTGCATAGCACTTAGCTCCTTGTACCCTGACGATTAGATACAAGAATTCAAACCGCTCAAGATACCTTAAGAGTCAACAAACTCTATAAAATTTCTAAGTCGTGATAACTACATAACCTTTTTCCGTTGAGTAAGATCCATAAGATGATATAACAATAGATGCATACAACCGTAGTCATATGACACGACATTACCCATACAAGGTCCATACGTTTACCCTGAATTAACAATAATCATGGTCTATGAGTGAGAGGGAACAAATAGAAGCGACATACAGAAGTCGAATCACAAGGTTTCAAAGGGATAAGAAACCTCACATAATAGGATATCCAAATCGAGAAGTATTAAATGAGATGAGGAATCTCAAAAAAGAACGGAACAAGGAAATCGAGGCATTCAAACGAGATCAAATACCTCACTCATGATCAATAGTGCGAAGGAAGTAAGATAGTCAAACAATATTGTATACAAAGAATCAGATACCTGAAAAGGTGGGTAACCGAGATGCCGAAGTATTGAAATGAGATAAGGAGTTTTGAAATGAGATACGAGATTTCCATTGTGATCAATAATAACAATGGAACAATATATGTACAAGAATTGAATTTTGAGGCCAAAAGAACAAAAACCTCAAAATAGGTAGAAAGATTCACCCGACATTAAAATAATAACAATGGTATAGCCAAATGAAACGAGAATAGGGACCTCAAAGGTACGTGGCCAAAATCACGAGCTATTCAAGGAAATTGGAACACTGAAAATGGAGTGGTATAGATTGAGTAATTAAAGCAATATTCAAGGAAATAAAAAGTCTCGACAAATAGATTAGCCGAAACTATAGAGTGTTCAAAGAGATACAAAACCTCACAATCAGGTAGATGATCAAAGCAGATGGTAATAGAATAAAGAAAGAAGCCTCACAAGAACATGACCAAAGTCATGACGTATTCATAATAATTGGATCACTAAGGATGATGTGAACTGAATAAGAAGTCTCGGCAAATAGATAAGCCGAAACCATAGAATATTTACAAAGGATAGAAGATGGAGATGGTAGCACAATAAGGTAAGGGCTTCAAAAAAAAGATAATCCAAGCCAGGCGGAATTTGAAGGGGTACGAAACCTCATAAAATTGGTAACTAAGACTATGAGGTATTAAAATGAGATATGAAAAATCGATTACGATCAACAAATGAAATTAGACAATATAGGCTAACGAATCAAAATTGAATTCATTGGAATGATAAGGAGTGAAAAGAAAAAGGACTCCCGGATATTTGGTTCACCATAAATCAATACTCAAAATGAGATAATATGGTTTGGATAAGGAAGTCAAGTTATGAAGTAAAATGGAATGGGACGTATGCAAAAAAAAAAAAAATATTACCAAATTCAAGTGAGACTAGGAACCTCACTCGTGATAAACATCAGAAAATTGGGAAAATTGGAAGCCAATTGAAGTAACCAAAAGAACCAAGAATCTCAAACTGCGTCTCAGGTTGTGTATGATAGATATTTCTACGGGGTATTCCTACTATCTATATCAGTAATAGACGCTAAAGAATGATCTCAATGCCTTTAATACTCGATTACTACCAATTCTCAAAGATCCATTTTCATCATCGCTCGGGCATCCAACCCAAAGCTTTACCAACCCAAAGCTCTGATACCACCTGTAGCGCCCCGCCCCGAGTAGCGGGCACCTCGTGGCGGGACACCACTCAACATGCAGTACATTCAATGACCCCAAATATGCTCCTCAAAATTTTGACGGTCGAAATGTTAAACCGCAATATCTATCCCATCGTGTTTACAAAAGGAGGTTCTATTACAAGTCGACTTCGACACCACTTACTCTATTACAAAATTCTCGATCAAAGGATTCCTATACGGAACATAAATAGAGATGCCTCTCGACGAGACTAATCGGAGGCATACACGAGCTTTAACTCTTAGTATGAAAATTTAGATCTAAGTCTTTCTTTTACCTGCGCATTAATATCAGAAAGGAGAAACGAATAAGTCCGAATGACTTAGTGAAAAACATATGATCCATGAGTATGATGAGAATCAAAAGAACAGAACATATAACGAGAGACTTAACAAGAATTTCATTAACATAAGTGTAACATGTACAAGAGTGTAACATGTACAAGAGTGTAACATGTACGGCTTGAGTTCAATATTTGGTGGGGTCTCCAACCTTGTAACTCCCAACAAATAAAATCATATCACATCCTTGTCCCTCCACTCCGTCCCGAGTGGCCACTCGGTCGGAAACAGGCAAGAGGCACGACCGGAACGTGCCGATCCGGCTCAGGAACGTTTAACTCCAAACGAACGTGAGTCCGAACCATCAGGAGGTACCATTCGGGAGACCAGTCATCGTCAGCCCAATACTGCCCGATCGTCTTGCCGAAATGGTCCTAGGGCCCAGCTCCCCCAAGAGCGTCCTCAAGGGTGGGGACAGTAGGTTCAAGAATCAATATCATTCCTTTTAGGAATATCAAGTCATTCATTTCAAGAATCAATTCAAGAATCAAGTCAATCGTTCACAAGATAAGTCACGATCACGATAATTGAATATTAAGTCTCAGGATAATGAACATGTTCAGATTTCAATTCAAGCCAATGAAAGAATTGTCGTGAATATGGAATTCAAGAAGAACAATAAGTTCCATGTCAGGTTCCAAGAACGAGTATATCAAGATCTCAATGAATTCAATAAACATGAGATTCAAGTTCGAGCCAACAAAATATTTATTCTCGGAAAGCATTCAAGACAAGATTTTGAGAATAAATATAGTTCAATATCGATTCAAGGAAAATGTTCGGGCCAAGGAATCAAGTATAGGAATTAGCCGTGAACATAGCAACCAAGAGAATTGAAAAGTTCAAGAGATCAAGGTTCCAAGTTCGAGCCAAGGAAACGAATATGCTCGCAGAACATTAAGGATCATATTCCAAGAAAAATATAATCAATGCATCAAAGGATTCAAGATGGAGAATATATTTGGTTCAAACAAAGGAGATATTAAGCGCAGGAAAGAAATCAGATAAGGAGTCATAGTTTCTCACCTGGAGTCCAACGCTAGTGTTATAGAAGTGCTATAGAAGCATCTTTAAGCTTAAACCTTGAGTGAGAGCTTTACTACGCTCAACACCTATGCAAATATTAGAACTTAATAAGATTCCGAACAGTAATATAGTCATACTACCATCCACTATATGACATAGTCAATTTCTTAAACATATACTAAGAATTGCTTCTCGTGGCACTCTATTCAAATAATCACTACGATCGTCGTACTTATCCGAATGACCTAAACGATATATAAAGTTAAAGATAACATCTGTATCTACAAGTTTACTGAAGACTTTAATCCCAAATTAACAACATAACCCGTCAATAACAACCCCGAAAGATGAATACATAAACCTGCCAGATTTTCGGATAATTTCGTTTACCGTCACAGCCCGTTTGAAAAATCATAAAAAATTGTACGGTTATCCAAATTGTCCAAATAATACATCAAATGAAACCTGGCAGTTTAATCTACAAGTTTCATGAAGGCACATAGCCCAATTAATGATCCCAACATATCGAAAACAGTCCCGCAAGAATCTTACTCAAAACTGCCCTGTTTCCGGCAGATTACTGTCATCGGATTCCGACCTCTAAAACACGTATATTAAATATTCTAATTCGATACAATTGAACACTTACTTATAGTTTACGATGTCCTCTACGAGTTTCCTGAAGGAACCGATTCCAAATTCGCATTCGAAACCCTTCGATTTCGGCTCCGAAAACAGGTGCGGCAGCAGAATTTGCTTCCCTTCGTTTCAACGAGCGAGCTGAAGTTCTAGCCAATTCTGATGACCACCGCTGATGTAAACAATCAAGAACCACCACCACTGGAAATCTAACTTATTAAGGTTTCGAACGGTACCTTCGGATCATCGATGCTCCATCTTTAAGACCTCCGTTTAATTGATTTACGGAAAAGGCAAAACTCTGAAATTGAAATTCTGGACAGCTCGTCTTCTTTGTCGGATTCCAGCCACCACCGCCGGCGACTGCTGCTGGAGACCACCACCACTATAAATCCGACTTTTTTTTCTTCAATTAACTTCCATGATTTCAGCCAAGGATCGAGAGAGAGAGGAAGAGAGAGCGGGCGAGAGAGAAAGAGAGAGATGATGAGAGAGAGCGAGAGAGAGAAAGGAGTTTGGAGAAGAGGAGTGAAGTGTAGGAAGAATCGGATGAAGATGAAGAGGAAGTCTGACTCATCTTTTATTCTACGTGTCTCTCTCTCTAATTTTCTTGGTTAATAACATTCAATTATCCCATTACACAAGCCCCTCAATTGCTTAATGGCCAAGTTACTAAATTATAGAATTATTATTATGCTTATGCCCCAAAATTATTACATAATAACACATCAGCCCCCAATTCTCATTATAAAGTACAATAAACTCTCGCATAATTTACGGGGTGTTACACGATTAGTGGGAGATAAGTTGGATAGTAAATCCGACTTGTGCTATTTTGTGGGGTATCCCGAAGACTCGATGGGATATGAGTTCTACTATGTCAGAGAAGCAAAGACGTTTGTTTCGAGAAATGCCACCTTTTTGGAATGGGAGTTTCTATCCGATAGAAAGGGCAGCATGATAGAACTTGAAGTAGTTCAAGAACCACAAAGTGAAGTTCAAACGCAAGAACAAGCAATCGAACCAATACAACAAACCACTAATATACCTCCTGAACCTACGGTACGTAGATCCGAAAGAGTTCGGAAAATGCCGGATAGGTTATTCCTCCTCGAAAATGATGAAGATCATGTTGATCTTGGACAAGATCCAAGAACATACAATGAGGCCGTATCGGATGCGGACATGGGACATTGGCTAACTGCCATGAAATCCGAAATGGACTCCATGTACTCCAACAAGGTATGGACCTTGGTAGATCCACCCAAAGGAATTGTTCCTATAGGCTGCAAGTGGATCTATAAGAAGAAAATTGGAGTGGATGGAAAGGTATCGACCTATAAAGCTAGATTGGTAGCAAAAGGATACACTCAAAGGCAAGGTGTTGACTATGAGGAAACCTTTTCGCCAGTCGCGATGCTGAAGTCCATTAGGATTTTGCTGGCCATAGCTGCGTGGTACGACTACGAGATATGGCAAATGGATGTGAAGACCGCCTTCCTTAATGAAGACATTGAGGAAGAAATTTACATGGCGCAACCGGAAGGCTTCATATCTTCTGGAAGTGAGCAAAAGGTTTGCAGGCTCCAGCGATCCATTTATGGATTGAAGCAAGCATCCCGTAGTTGGAACATTAGGTTCGACTCAACTATCAAAGAGTTTGATTTTGAGAAGAATCCGGAGGAACCTTGTGTATACAAGAAGGTTAGTGGGAGGGCAGTGATATTTTTAGTGCTTTACGTTGATGACATTCTACTCATTGGGAATGACGTAGGAATGCTGCAACAAACGAAAGCATGGTTGTCCACACGTTTCTCAATGAAGGATTTGGGAGAAGCATCTTACGTATTGGGAATACGCATCTATAGAGATAGAGCAAGGAAGATGCTTGGCTTATCCCAAAGCCTGTACATAGACACCGTTATGAAACGGTTTAGCATGGAAGAATCCAAGAAGGGATTCTTGCCAATGTCCCATGGGGTTCGTCTCTGGAAATCTATGTGTCCGCAAACACCTAGTGAAATCGAGGAGATGAAAAGGACGCCTTATGCTTCTGCCATAGGAAGCATAATGTATGGCATGCTATGTACGAGACCCGATATTGCGTATGCTGTGAGTATCACAAGCAGATATCAGTCTAACCCCGGCCCGGCTCACTGGAAAGCCGTGAAAGATATCCTCATGTACTTGCGAAGAACTAAGGATATATTTTTGGTCTATGGGGGTGCCAAGTTGAAATTAGAGGGTTTTACTGACTCTAGTTTTCAATCGGATGTGGACGACTCAAAGTCGAATTCTGGATTTATATTCACGCTTAATGGTGGTGCCGTGTGTTGGAAGAGTTCCAAGCAGAGCACGACGGCCGATTCCACTACCGAAGCGGAATACATTGCAGCGTCCGAAGCTGCAAAAGAAGGGACTTGGATAAGGAAATTCATCCAAGAGTTGGGTGTCATTCCTGATGCTAGTGATCCAGTACCGTTGTACTGTGATAACACCGGAGCCGTGGCGCAAGCTAAGGAGCCACGATCTCATCAGAAGTCGAAGCATATTCTGAGGAAGTATCACGTGATCCGAGAGATCATTGATAGAGGTGAAGTTAAGGTTGAACGAGTCACCTCGGAAGAGAACGTAGCAGACCCCTTCACGAAGCCTTTACCGAGATCGGTCCATGAGAAACATCGAGAGTCGATGGGATTACGATTTATGGGTAGTTGGCTTTAGGTCAAGTGTGAGATTGTTGGAGTAGGTGACCAACAAGCCAACATGTGGCTGTGGTCTTTCGTATTTATTATTGTAATAAACGAACCTTTATTCGTATTAATGATAAAACACCTTGGCATTCTATATCTTTGTCCCTTTGTCACAAGCATAGATATAGTCCTTACAGTTATTACAAGTACTAGTAATTGATCGTTAGGATCGTGAGATATTTACTCAAGTATTATAACTGTTAAACGTGTTCCTAGTCGAAGGGTTACGCCACTAATGAGGATATCGGCCTTTCCCATTAAGACTAGCACTTAGTGTATGTGTACTGCATCTCATCAGTAAACGGTATTGTGATATCGGCATGCATAAGTGGGTGCTCGTAAGTTGAAGAGTTCACTGAACTCCCTCACCCTAGAAATCTCTAAGTGGTTCCCAATAATCGAGTAGAGATATCTATGGTATAGTTGTACACCATTAGTCCTTATGACCTAGACATCACCGTGACTTCACTAGAGGACCAGCTGTATCGTGACCTGTCCCTGAGTTCCACCGAGGACTATCCCAAGGGCCAGTGTTCGTGCTGTCCGAAATCTAGTGGGAGGTCTGTGCATTGTAGTCGGGGATTTGATCGCTAGAATAGTCTTGGATGTCCTGTGTGTTCTGAAAGTTTGTAATCATTCTAAGTCTCTGGCCAGAGCTGACTAAGTGATGATTAGAGAATTCGATTCTCTAAGTCATGCACGTGACGATTACAACACTTGGAACGATCGCACCGTCATCGAACATATAAAGAGGTCTCGATGAACCAATGCCTCTAGTTCGATCGGGACATATGAATCGAATGGACCGTACTGTACGTTAGCTATATCTGAAGGTTCTTGCAGACACTTCATTTGTATCTAGGGAATCATGACGCGTAGTTGCTAGACGCCAATCTTGATTCGTTGGGTGATTAAGGTGAAACGAGCTTCATCTTAATCGTAACTCTAAGGGACGAGTTTTGACCACAAAGGGTTGTGGACCCACGGCTAGCTTACACCTGAACCATCGAGGGTCACACTGCTCGTGCACATGAGATCTTTGAATAAACGGTCAGAGATAAAATAGTTTATCTTTGCATAATTGGAAGTCAATACGATTGAGTCCAACATTCGTAATTTGGAATTATGAATGAGAATAAGAAAAGGAAAAGAATAGGCGAACGTGTTAGTGAACTTTCTAAATCGGGAAATTTCCAAATTTAGAAAGTGCACTGAACTAGGGTTTCCACTTTTGGAAAGTTGGAAAATGAAAGATGGCACCCGTAATGACGAGGATATTATAATGATTCCGAAAATGTAATTGTTGCAATTTTCCGATCATTGGATTGAGAGAAACGAGCAAGTAAAAGTACTAGCGAACTTAAGCTGTTGGGCCCGGTCCAACTTAAGCCCGCTAGGGTTTTATGCAAGACAGTATAAATACAAGATTTATAGGTCTTGCAAACACAAGTGAAAACCCTAACCCTAGCAGCCGTCCACCTCTCTCTCTCGGCCACTCTCTCCGCGGCCACCACCGCGCTGCCGTCGCTCCTCCGTCGCCGGAATCGGCCATCTATTGGCCGATCCCTTTCGGTACTCTTTCTTCTTTCTCTTTCTTCCGTTAATTCTAACTATTACGTGTCTAGTGCCACGTGTTTAGTAGATCGAAGTATACGAGGTGAAATCCGAGAGGAGGAAGAACAAAGATCGAGGAATCGAGGAGCAGCGCACGACCCGAAGCCGCACGCTGCCCCACGCGCCGCATCGGAAGACCGCGCGTGAGATTCACGCGCCGCCGTGGCCGTTTCACCGCTGCTGCCGCTGCACCGCTGCTGCCCCGATTGTACGGATTGGTTTCCGTAGCAATCTCGACTTGCTAAGCGCTCCTACCTCACGCTTCAAGAGGTAAACACACGAATCCCTTGATTCGATTCGTTTACGTTTAAACTATATTTTCATGTTTGCTTTCGTATGATTTTATGTGATTATGGGTAATCGTTTTAATCGTTGCAAGCTTTGGTTTAAACGCGAGCATGTTAATTGATTTAAATTCGGTTAAATTATTTAGCATGTATGTTGTTTTTAATTTCGCTGGAAGCGCAAAGGTACGCAATTAATTGATTTTAATTTGTCGGGCATGTGCTTGTGTGCTTTAAAGTCGTTTAAATCACATAAAATTTTTGTTTTCCGCTGCGTATGCGTGCCCGAAACCCAACAGTAGTTTCTATACGCCAATCTTGATTCGTTGGGTGATTAAGGTGAAACGAGCTTCATCTTAATCATAACTCAAAGGGACGAGTTTTGACCACAAAGAGTTGTGGGCCCACGGCTAGCTTACACCTGAACCATCGAGGGTCACACTGCTCGTGCACATGAGATCTTTGAATAAACGGTCAAAGATAAAAAAAAATTATCTTTGCATGATAGGAAGTCAATATGATTAGGTCCAACATTTGTAATTTGGAATTATGAATGAGAATAAGAAAAGGAAAAGAATAGGCGAACATCTTAGTGCACTTTCTAAATCGGGAAGTTTCCAAATTTAGTACCTGAAAAGGAGTCTGGGGAATTTTTTCATTCTGAGGGAGTACTGTACTAGGAGCTGGCATCTTATGAACTCTAGGAGGTTGGATATATATTTTTTGGCTGCCAAAATAAATTAAAAAAAAAATGTTACTGAAAATTGTAGATTAAAAAAAAAAAAAAAACAGAGAGATAATATGACATAAAATACCTTTAGCAACTTAGAATTAGGGTGTATTTCTCCTTTGCATCCTCTTTTGTTATGCCCAATTTTGAGGCATCTAGGACATGTCACTGGCAAATTTCTTCTTGAAACTTTTGTTTGAACAACAATTTTAGGGCCTTGTTCATTAGCTGTTTTATT